CCCATTTAGGCAGCCACCCCCCCCCCCCCGAGTATCTTTACATAGGACTAGGAAGTAACAAACTTGTTGAGGTCCCCAACATTTTTTGGCAGGCAGCTTTGAAATTCTGACACAGGGTAGAGGTTACGTCCACAAAATGGCTGCTGCAGGGGGCGGAGCCAGCCACAAAATGGCTGCTTCAGCTTGCCTTTAGTCACAAAGTGAAGATCCTTCTGCTGGAGTGACAGCAACATTTTTTCAAATCTGCACAGGCAATCAAACCTGGAAAGTACTGAGTTCGGAGGCTCAGCATGGTGAAAGCAGCTCAACCTTTATTAATTACATCAAGACGAAACGAGATCACCTAGCCGGTCTGAGGCCGGCTTATATGCGTGTCCACACTCACACCCAACACACAACCAATACCCGTGAACGGCTCTATTTACATGTCCCCAGTTACTATAGGTCTGCCTCGGGATCCGGGCAAATCTAATGGTCCGCACTAGGATCCGAGGTAGCTATTGTTCTAGGACCGAAGGTCCGCATGTCTGCCCGACTGCATGGCCAGGCTAGCTCAGTCATGGCCATCTTGATACATAACACCTCCAAAGGCTAAGCTAATCAGAAGCCCTGCTGGGCAAAAGCTTCACCTCTCCTTGCCTATTTTCTACAAGGACTTGGTAGGCATCAGAAAAGTTGGTGGTGGGTGCCATGGGTATCATACTGGGGGCCCCTGGACCAGATTGTATACTAGCTTCCTCTGGGTGTATACAGTATTCCGTTTAACCAAACGCTTAGTTCTGAATTGGCTGTATCTCACTGCTTTTCTTTTTGCTGTTCCTTTTATTAAGAACATGAGAGAAGCCAATGTTGGATCAGGCCAATGACCCATCTGGTCCAACATTCTGTATCACACAGTGGCCAATACCAAGGTGCCATCAGGAGGTCCACCAGTGGGGCCAGAATTCCTAAAGTCCTCCCACTGTTTCCCCCCCAAGGACCAAGAATACAGGGCATCACTGTCCCAGACATAAGAGAAGCCATGCTGGATCAGGCCAAGGGTGGGAGGTCTATCAGTGTACACAGTGTCACACAGTGGCCAAAAATGCCAGGTGCCATCAGGAGGTCCAGCAGTGGGGCCAGAACTCCAGAAGCCCTCCCACTGTTGCCCCCCAAGCACCAAAAAGGCAGAGCATCACTGTCCCAGGCACAAACATAGGAGGAGCCATGCTGGATCAGGCCAATAGGCCACCCAGTCCAGCACTCTGTGTCACACAGCGGCCAAAACCCAGGTGACATCAGGAGGTCCAGCAGTGGGGCCAGAACTCCAGAAGCCCCCCTTGCCACAAATCACCAAGAAAAAGAAGCTATTGGATTTATTCCCCACCCTTCACTCAGAGTCTCATGGCTGCTTACAAACTCCTTTCCCTTCCCCTCCCCACAACAGATACCCTGTGAGGTAGGTGGGGCTGAGAGAGCTCTTTCAAGAACTGCTCTTTAGAGAACAGTTCTTTTTTTTAACCATTTATTTGCCATTTTCCATTATTTACATTATGTCTTCGTATTACATTATTTATCCTTGTGAGTCTTTTCTGATTACATTGTCAATCCATATATAAAACATTTTCCATCGGTTTTCAAATATCTCCTTATTTTTCCCTTGTAATCTTAAAGTTAATCTGTCCATCTCTGCTACTATCAACATTTTTTCAATTATATCTTTTTCTGAAGGTACTTTCTCTTCTTTCCATACTTTAGCTAATAAAATTCTTGCTGCCGTGAAGAAGTATATGATTACATATTTCTCTGTACTATTGTATATGTCTCACCCATCCTTGACAGATCCCTTTGGAGTGCCTCACAATCCTCCCTGGTTTTCACCACCCTGAACAACTTTGTATCATCCGCAAATGTAGCCTCTTCACTGCTTACTCCCATCTCCAAATCATTAATGAACAAGTTAAAAAGCAGTGGAACAAGTACTGATCCCTGCGGTACCCCACTGCTTACCACCCTCCACTGAGAAAACTGCCCATCTACACTCACTCTCTGTTTTCTATGAACTAGCCAGTTTTTGATCCATAAAAGGACTTGTCCTTCTATTCCATGATTTTTGAGCTTACTTAGGAGCCTTTGATGAGGAACTTTATCAAAAGCTTTCTGGAAGTCAAGGTAAACAATATCTATTGGATCCCCCATGTCCACATGTTTGTTCACCCCCTCAAAGAACACTAACAGGTTAGTGAGACAAGATCTTCCCTTACAGAAACCGTGCTGAGTCTGCCTCAATAGGTTTTGTTCATCCATGTGCCTACTAATTCTTTCCTTAATAATGGTTTCCACCAATTTACCCAGTATCGACGTCAGACTGACTGGCCTGTAATTTCCCGGATCTCCTCTGGAACCCTTTTTAAAGATGGGAGTGACATTAGCTACCTTCCAATCCTCAGGAATGGAGGCAGATTTTAAGGAAAGATTACATATCTTTGTCAGGAGATCTACAAGTTCACATTTGAGTTCTTTCAGAACTCTCGGATGTATGCCATCTGGGCCTGGTGATTTATCAGTTTTTAAGTTGTCTATCAGTTTTAGGACCTCCTCTCTCATCACCTCAATCTGACTCAGGTCTTCCAACACCCCTCCTGAAATCAGTGGTTCTGGAGTGGGCAAGCACTTCTCATCTTCCACAGTGAAGACGGAGGCAAAAAATGCATTTAGCTTCTCAGCCATTTCCCTATCATCCTTCAATACTCCTTTTACCCCTTGGTCGTCCAAGGGCCCCACTGCCTCCCTGGCTGGTTTCCTGTTTCTAATGTATTTGAAGAACTATTTATACAAATGTTGAACTCAACAACATTATGATCACTGTTCCCAAGCGGTGCAATCACTTTTATATCTCTCACCAGGTCTTGAGTGTTACTTAGGACCAAATCAAGGATCGCCTCTCCTCTGGTAGGTTCTGTGACCATCTGCTCCATAGCAGAGTCATTTAGAGTGTCTAGAAACTCAATCTCTTTTTCCCGACTAGAACACATATTTTGACCCAATCAATTTCTACCGGGATCCCATCCGGTCCCGGCGATTTGTTTTTCTTCTGTCTTTTAATTGCCTCTATAATTTCACACATAGTGATGGGCTCATTTAACAACTTTACTTGATCTTCATTAAATCCACTTTTGTTTGTTTCCTTTATATATTGGCATACTAGCTCGGTGTTTTGTTTATCTTGTTGGTAGAGTGTCCTGTAAAATTCTTCTATTCTCTTTTTTATTTCTTCTATTTTATATATTTCTTCTCCATCGTTATTTCTGAGAGCTTTTATCACCTTTCTTTCTTCCTGCTTCTTGATTTTATATGCCAACCATCTTGTTGGCTTGTTGGCATTCTCAAAGTAATATTCTATACTCTTAGCCAGTTCTTGGGTTAGTATTAAATTCATATGATGATGTACTAATTTCAGTTTAGTTTGGCTTTCCCCCTTGCCTGTCAGCATATTTTTGAGTTTTTCTTCCTCTTTCTGTATTTGGTTTTGTATTTTCTTGTATTCTTTCCTTCTTTGTTTCCTTCTCCAGGCCTCTTGATTCATAAAACATCCTCTTAGATACGCTCTGACAGAACTTGTAACTGTTCCAAGGTCACACCAGCAGCTGCTTGTGGAGGAGTGGGGACTCAAACCAGCCATTGTTTTCACACAGCATAAAACACTGTTGCTCTTAAACAGAGGTCTCTTTCTCTGATGTGCTCTCTCTTTACATCCCTCACCTCTCTG